AATTATATCAGAATTTCTACATACAACGAATATCGAACAATACTTAAATATTCATTCAATGATTAATAAGATAACTACCGATCACAACAATAAGATATTTGACTACATTCTTTATCTACATTTTTCTCATAGTTTGAGCTTTGTTCTGGTAACAATATGTCTCGAAATTTTACCACCGAACATTTCAAGTGATAAATGAAGAATCAAGCATAATAACTATGAGTCAGTTTAGATTTTCTCCCGACAAGATACATATTATCTTAAAAAATAATTTATCACTTAAAAAAAATTTTTTTTTAATGAAAATGAATAAAATCTATTTTTAGCTTTTTATCTGAAGATTGGAATATTTCTAAAGATATCGCGATATCTGATTATTGATGTACGTCAAGTCTTATTTTTACAATGCTTACATCGATCATAAAANTCATTTGCGATAATTCTTTTCTGACAAATCAATTTGAACTTCTATAAAGAATCTATTTTATTAAATAAATAATTAATTATCTATATCAGAAACTCTAATTGTTTCTTCTTTGACATAAAGCATTTCATGCAAGCCTATATTGTCAAATGTTAATGTAAGGCTATCTAATTGGTATTGAATAAGATATAATAAACTTTGAACTATTGATCTAATTGATCCACATTGAGTAAGAGCAAATGATTTAAGATTAGGAAAATGAAGTAAATTTTTGTCATTAAATAACCACTCATAACAAAGATCATAAGCAGATGAATTACTTCCATCTAAATGAATACGTCGAATAGAAGAAGAAAGAGACGAAGAATTTAAAATCAATGGAAATAATATTGAATAACATTTATTATAAGATAAACCACGTTTAATACCAAGATCACTATTCATTAAATCGTTATTTACTGAAAGAATTGAACATATAAGAGAATTAAATCGAATATTCAATGAACATAAACATGTTAACATGTCAAACCATTCAAGATAAGAAAATATACACAAAAGAATTTCATTAGGTAATGCTTCGATTCTAGTAATCATCTTATCTAAACAAACAAAAAAATAAAGAAATCTATAATAGAATGGTTTTTTCTTTCATTAGATTATTATTAATTGTAAATAGAATATTTGAAACAACCAAATGAAAATAATAGAATTGTATAGAAATTCTCTAGACTATCGCAATATTATTAAAGTTCAAAGTTTTATTTAAATAGAAGAATTCTGAATAATATCATGAAAATATATGAAATCTGTAGCTTCTTTATCATAATTTTATTAATTAAACGTTTCGATAGGTTTATTTCGTAAGACGAGAGTGTTCGTTTTAGCAATAGTTTGCAATAGAAAAACAATGCAAGAGATATAGAATCAGTCGAATTCAATAATATGGATATAGACAGAAAAGACTTATCGTTCTTTTTCTTGAAAATATATTTTTTATATCTTAATTAAAAACATTAATAATACAAGAAAATTCATACAGGTTATCGCCGTAGTGCGTGATATTTCGTCGATTATCCCAATGCTGTTGTAATTGTTTGTTCCTATGTTCTCTAGACAAAAAGAAAAATGATCGCTTCTCTCTTTTCATACAATCTGAACAAACACGACGATAAAAATTTCTCATTCGGTCAGTACAACGAAAGATTGAACGATCGTCCATCTGATACAAAAAAAAGTCGTTTATTTTTTTTTTGCCGCACTGATGACAGTATTACTTTATATACCAATTTTTGACGTCCAGTTACGAGAAAAATGAAATACATATGTATTACAGCTATAAATTTAAGAGAAATAAATTTGATATCATTTGTTTCGATCTATACAATTCAATTTAATTAACTAAAATGATTTAGAATTAAAAACAGTATCGAATTCAAATTCAAATATGATTGAAATCTTAATAATACTGCTGAAGTAAGAATGTTTTCTGTTGAACAGTTTCTATTATTGAGACATGTTTGTTTTTTAATAAACTCTATTCTCATATGACATCGTTATTATCGAAAATAAATCAAACAAAATATTTTAATTTAATTTCAATGAAATATCACAAGTAATTTGATTTCAAACAAAGTTCAATATCTATATTATACTGATGCTTTACTAAAGGGTGGGTGTAGGTCTTCATCTAATTCTGACTCACCTACACTCCATACCCACACCCACCCCCACATTCTCTCCAACTGTATTCATAGTGAGTTCTTAGAGACATGTTATTGACTACAGTTAAGTATCTGACTTTATTTATCATAACATATAGCACGACAGAGATTGAGAGAGAAAATACAAAAATGAAAAGAAATGTCTATTGTTTTATAATAATTGTTTCATTAGAACGTCCGACATTAGCCCCCAACATTTCTTTGAAAAACCATTCTCCATCATACCATCTTCGTTTTCGAATATAGCCGCTACAATAGATTAACAAAAAGCTTATTCGTTATAAAGAAAAAATTTAACTTACCAAGATGAGATAAACATTGTCTTAAAAAAGGTTTCATATGGTGATCATTACAATTAATAATCGTGTTACCAAGCAAATCAATTGTTTTACCATAAAAACAAGCATTAGCAACAAATGAAGCAAGATCATCGACTATAGCATTTGGATCAACATTCAGTCTATCCTCAGCTTCATTAATCATAGAACCAATAATTTTGTCGAAGGTTACGTGCAAGGTCTTGTTATTTGCGTAAGCCAAAGCTATTTCAAAACCTTGTTTAGTTTTGATGTTAGGACCTAGTACGATTTGTTCCATGTCATCAATCAACTTTATGCGTTCCTACAATAAAAAACAATGAGTGCTTTTTTATTTTCATCACTGCTTTACACTGATTGGTGTAGTTAAGACACAAAACACTGTGTGAGGGTGAGGGTGCTGTAATTCAAGTAAAAGAGTACCTTGATTTGTCCTTTCAGCTCATTGTTTTCTATTGGAAGGTTAAAATATAGATAAACTTCAAACTCGTATCGGCATTCATATGAATATTCGTTTTTGCTCTTTGTAGGTACTCTTTTACTTTGATCACAGCGCTCTTACTCTTACGCAGCGTTGTGTGTCTGAATCACATCATTCAATGTAAAGCTGTGATTAAAGTAAAAAAAGCACAGATCACATGAAGACGAGTATGCAATAGATACCCTAGTCGAACTTCTTTTTCATGCGCATGAAATACATGAGTATCTTGAGCATGAAAATCATGTGCAGTCTACAAATCTGGAAGCAAGGCTTGCGATTTTCATTGAGTTCAAGCATTTGAGCCTCTTGTTTCATCGCTTATCATTCTTAGTTATGCCCTTGAGTTTCTTCAAGTGTTTTTGTTTCTTGCTCAAGCATTTGTAAAATTCTTGGGTACTAGAGAACAGAATTCCAAATGAGATGGGACAGAAAAAATTGCCTCATGGGAAAAGCTGCCTTGTCCTATTCCATTCGGTGGGACAACTTGTTTAGTAATAAGAATCTTTTAAACCTTCCATCGACTTCTATGACTTTCTCATACAATCTTCTCACTTGTTCGCAGCTCTCGTTTCGGCAGTTTATTCAGCATTTAATTTTTTATACTAATCACGTAAATCCTGCTGCTTTTCTCAATTACAAAATTCAAGGTACAAGGTACGAAAATCTGATTGAACACAAACAAATACAACAATGAAGATCGAAATACATTGAGATCGTTTTGAGTGTACTAGATTCCGTCAGAACCCAAGATATGCTTCTTCTTTTAGAGGATTTTAATTCTATGTTTCTAAGCATTAGGAAATAATAATGCTTCGTCTCTAGTGTATTTTTCATCCATGAATCATCAGAAGCTGATGAGGTTGCTAATTTTCTCAGATTCCTCGGGATTACTAAAGATCCTTTCATAGTCTGATACAATCCGATAGATTTCTCGAGATTTGAGTTTACTCCAATGAATTCTGTGTGACGCTTGGAGTTCAGCAGAATCCATCACAATATTCTATCTATCGATTAGTTTTCCATAAACCACACTTATAAAATATTTTGTGGAAAATTTATTTAGAAGAAAGAGTCTTTATAATCGAAACTATTCTATTCATATAATCAATAGCTATATAGCAGGAAAGTATTAGAAAATATGAATTAGTTAGAAGCAGAGATTGGATCATAGAAATATTTTTAGGTTTTATTGTTGAACTTTCTGTAAAAAGATTAGAAATATTTTCAGAAAATAGAGTACACAAAAGTTAGGAAAAAACTATTTGCGTTGGAAAAATGTCAACAACGAGAGTATAATAATTTTACTACTCACCGTTTCCAAAAAAAAAAGGCACT